TTTTTTTTTTTTTTTTTTTTTTTGGCTTAAGTGCATTATAAACCAATACACTGATTAGGTCATGTTGATTAAATGAGCACTTGGGAGAGGTGTACACTGAAAAAGGAAGTGTAACAAATTAATAAGGCATTGGTAGACCAGTGAGCTTTCCAATGCAGCCTGTAATTAGGGTGCAAGTACCTTACGTGATTTCCTTTCTTTACACTGCCTTGTCCTTTCCCCATGGTCACCCTCTCTTCAGTGTGCTCTCAAACGGTTTGGTGAGCTCAATCCTGTTTTTAGCAGACAAGTATCTTCTAGTTGCTGCCCGTTTTGAGTGTGGGTCACTCTAGCAGTAATACGAAGGGCTTGTTGAAGTGCCTTTAGGCATTCTCATGCTCCATATGGCCTCCCCCTCCTGTGTGCATAGGAAAGAGAAGGGAAGGGGAAATTATTGTTATTAAACCAAATCTTTCCCAGGCAGCTTCAGTTTCTACAAGTTCCCACTTAACTTCTACTGTTGGAATCTCTTATTCATGATTTTGTAGTAGCTTTTCTCATGCGTTTGCTGCCAGGAGAGGGCACTCTTCACTCTGTCCATGTTGTGAGGCTGCCAAGTGCTCATGCAGACGCGCACCTGCCTGTTGTACTTCTGTTCAGCAGTAGCAGACTGCAGGCTGCGATGGCGAGGCTTCGTGTGAGGAAGGAGATGTTTCTCTTCTCCCAGTCTCTGTACGGAAAGTTGTGTCCTAAGCCAGTGTTCCAGCTGTGGTGTTGGTTTGCGTAGCAAGGTTACTGTGGAAATGATGTGGTCTTTCCCATGTACATTAGCCCCTTCAGACTTCCTAGGACAAAGAATGCTGCTACTGCAGTGTTCGTAGCTGGTTTTGCTACGGCTATGTGAATTTTGTGTGGTGGTGCATCTGGTCTCCTGGTCTTATTTCCCTGCAATAGTGTAATATGCCATGCTTGTGGCCCTCTCCAGCAGAGCATAAGAGCTTCATTTTGTTCCGCTGACATATAGCACGAGATGAGCTTGTTCAAGATTAACAGGTGTTTGAGGAATCAAGTTCAGTAGCTCAGATTACAGCTGGGAACAATTCTTAAATAGGGGCAGGTTGGCTTGTCTCCCACTTGTTCTTCTCTGAGTTGGAGTGATAGTCAGAAGTTGCTTTAATGGCTTCCTAGTGAAGTGGATCTAAGCAATTAACCTTAAGTCGTTTCGAGAATCATGGCAACTCATCCCCTCTCCCCCCCACGCCGTTGCCTTGCTTGAGCAGCACCAGTCTGATTTCAGTGCTGTCCAACATCTCCTTCTAATGGCGCTGGTGTAAATTCAGAGCAGAACTGCTTGTCGGTGGAATCTCTGTGTAGTGATGCATGGAACAACGTATTGTGCCTTTCTCTACTGGTACCAGTGCTAGTATGGAGGAATCGCAGGCAGCAAGCAGTGGTGGCTGCAGAGAGGTGACAGTGCCTGCTGTGTTGACAGAAGAGAGCAGGATAGCCCCAGCTTTCAGTCTGACTCTGCTTGGCTATGCTTTGTATCAATAAGGTTTTCTCACTAATGAAGAATCTCTTGTGCAACTAGTTTCATCTTCCATAAAGTCTGGCTCCTTTTCCTCAGCCATCTATCAAGCCCTGTTGAAATACTGTCCGTCATGAATAAACTCCACTTATGCTGCACATGTACCATGTGATTTATGACTCGGGAGGGCTTTCTAGCCAGCACTTTCTATTCACACTCTGGCTGTGTTTTATGAAAGGCTCTAATGGAAGAGCTGTGCTGTAGGCTTTGTCAGTGCTACCTTTCCAGAGGGCCTGTGGCATTTTTCATTTGTATGGGCTGCATCTCTCCACTAGAGCTCTGCTCATGTGCAGGGTTTGATTGGCATTGATTGTGCTTCAGGGAAGGGAGCATGCTTAGCAAGAAAAGAACAGGCGTTTCTCAAAACCTTGACTTTGGGTAGTGAATTGACCTGGACACACTGAAAATGAACGTTTCTGTAGAAATTACTAGTGTGCCCCTCACTGTGGAACCTGAGCGCTGTCGTGCAGGTTTTATATGTTCCTTTTGTGATGTTGCATTTCATATTACCTCATTTTTAGACACCATTTTTCATGAGCTGTCAATGAGGCTGCAGACCCCTTTGTTTCAGAAAGTGGTGGTGCTGCCAAGCTGCGTTTGAAAAGTATCTGTTGCTTCACAGCTATGCCAAGAAGCTATTCTGCATTCTGTCCTTCCTGCTCTTGGTGGTGGGGCTTGCGCATTTAGCTAGATAAGCAGATCTTTCACTGCAATTTTGTTGTGTTCATCCGTTCTCATGCTTGTGATATTGACAAGCTGCCCAAATGCCAGAGAGTGGAAGGGTCAGCCTAGTCTGTATTAATTTCTAAGCTTGCTAGAAGAGCTAGAGCAATCTCTTGGACTATGCTTAATTCCGGGGGATTTATAGTACCTTAGGTGTTACAGTGCTGGGCACCTGAGAAGAACATGGGTGACGTTTTGTGGGCTACTCTGTTTCAGTACCTGGAGAGAAATCTCTTCTCTTTGTTCCCTCAGAGGTCATCCTTTAGACTGTTGTTCATAAACCTCCTCAGCTCTGAAACTGGAAATTTAGGGAACTTGTAATAATGCTTCTGTTTCTCAGGGATGTAGTGAAACACTTCATATGTTTTGCATCTGTGTTGTTAGCCTTGGAGGTGACATAGTCCAGTAGTGCTAGTGGGTTAGACAGTGGCAGTCCTGTGGTTTGGGGTTTGGTGGTGTTTCTTTTTTTTTTTTTTTTTTTTAAAAGAAAAAAAACCACACGCGCGCGCGCACACACACACACACCTCCACAGCCTCTTACTTTTGCTGTTGTAGGAGGTATACTGTGCTTTTTTGAAATCAGAGTGTCCCTGGCCCCAGCCCAGTCATGTCTCACTGAAGCCACTGAAAATATTCAGGTATCTGTAGTGGGTGAAATGCAATTGGGAGAGGGGTTGAGGGGAGCAATTGCTGTAAAGTTTGATTTTTTTTTTTTTTAAATTTATTTTTTTTTGGAGCTTTGGGATTTGAGCTTTTTTTTTTTTTATTTTTTTTGGAGCATGGCTGTCCTGCATAACCATTTGCCCTGCCTGGGGTTATCAGCCTTTCTTTTCTGCTCTCATAACTGTGTGGTCAGTGACCATCTCCCGTACTGAGAGCTCCCACCTGCAGTACCATCCAGGAAGCCCAGGCAAATTCAACAACGTTGCTTCGTTGGCTCACAGAGACCAGACATTCATTGTGTGGCAACAGAGCTGGCTTCCAGTGAGCTAGCTGATCTGGAAATATTTTGGTTGCTGTGTGACTTTATGGATCGTCCTGTCGGCTTTAAAGCAAGGCTGCTTTTTCTGAAAACAAAGCTTCAGTTATTTGTAAGTGCCTGCTGCAGTGAGAGCTGAGCAGGGTATAAAACTCTCCCTTCCTTTCAGAGTCACCACTGATAACTAATGGGAGGGCTCTAGTAAATGAGAAGAATGGTTGATCTTAATAGGGCTGGCACTGGGTTCATTTCACTGCAGGCAGCTGGAGAAAATGACCTCAGACTATGTTTTAGCTAGGAAACAAGCAGATATCCTCTGGAGGGAATAGGGGCATGCACAGTAAGAAAAGTGAAGGGGGAAGGTTCTTTGGAAAAAAGTGGGCAATGGGATCTTGAATTTCAAGTGAAACAGATGAAAAATCCCCACGGAAGTGGTAGGTGTTTGTCACGAAGATGAGTGTCTGTGAGACAGTAAGCTGGTGGTTGTGTGCTTGTGAGAGGTCTCCTTTGTCGTTACATCAGAGTTCAACTGATTCTGCAAGCTCTTGTGTTCCTGTAGCACCGGTTTCCGTTTGCTTGCTATTTCCAATAGCTTTAGAAAGTGATATTCCTCAGTTCCCCCTGCAGTTGCGTTTGTGTCATCTTTATCTTTGACTGTACCTTAAGTGCTGCAGGCAGGGTTAACCTTTTCTAAAGCAAGATGGCTTGCAAATGGGACCTGTACACGCTATCTGATGCCTGTCAGTAGAATCACAGGCACTTGGGTCTTGCCACCTCTAGAGAGCTGTGTTGCTTCACGCTCATTCCATCAAGTCTGAGAGGAAAAATAAAAGCTGGAGGAGAGCAGTGAGGTTCCAGATCTGATAGCTGTTCTCTTCTGAGTCTCTGTGATACTCCTTTAATTCGTTTATCGCTCCATTCTCCAATTTCAGTAACATTTCCAGTGGTTGGTACAGGTCTAAGAACACTTCCTTAAACCTGGGTTTTGAAATGATGGATTCATTGATTCATTCATCACAGAATGCTTTATTCAAAGTGTCTATGACTTTGTGAGGCGCCTTTATCTTGGTGGCTTGTCTCTTACCAAAGAAGTGACTATAACCTGTTTATTTCATGTTTCTTTTCAAGGAGGTCAGCTCAGATGAGTTCATGTCAAGGTCAAAGTGGCTTCCCTATTTGCCTTTGCTAAAGATGCTGCCTGATATTTGAAGGAATTATTTTAAGCTGAGAGAAAAATATCCCAGGTCTTTTAAAGCTGTCTGGTTTTAGGCCTGTCACAAGTTCTTGACTGGCTTTGGACAAATGCTTTAAGCGCAATTACTCTGAGAGAGCGTGGGGAGCACCTAGGAAGAGGCTATGTTGCATTGGACACCATAGCCGCAGAGTGTAGCGGGTGATCGGTGCACTGAGAGGTTGCGCACGTGGTGGTGGAAGAGGCAGGCCTTGGTGAGTGTTGTGACAGTAGCGTGCACTACAATAGCTTTTTATCTCCTTTTTTTTAACTGGGGAAGGAGATGGTAGGGAAGCAGGGCTGCACAAAAAAGTACTGAAGGTGAACTGCTAGGGTTTAGAGATTGAGGGCTGCGTGGAGAAAACAGCTAGTGCTGCTTGCACAGTCTTGGCTTTGGAAAGTCCCTTGAAGCTGCGGTGGCTGTTCTTCCTCTTTTTTGTTCTCCAATTTACCTGATGGGAGAAAGGGTGCCCTTCCTGGGTCCTGAACCTGGGCAGTGGGGGAGGGAGCGGGAAGTTTCAACAGTTGTGGGTCAGGAGTGAGAGCGGAAGAAAAGCTCTGGCTGGCTTTATTTAGCCTGCTAATGTTTCCATTTCGCATCTGTTCAATGGGAATAACCTAAGTGTTGGGGATCAATTCACTGAGTATCTGATCGCCACACAGACAGTATAGCAATAAGGTACTAAAAATGTCTATACATAAAAATAACCTCTTAGACTCTCTGGCACTGTGCCTTTGGCACATCACAGGTCATAAAGATTCTGCCAGCTGAAATTAACTGGCAGCCTCCTCGTTCAGTGCAAAGTGGAGTGCAGTTTGCTCTGCTAGCACAGCTTAGGTACATTAGGGCAGACGCATCCTGGTGGATTTTTTCAGTCGAGTCAGCAGATAGTTGGAGTAATTAGTACTATAATATGTATGAGGGTCTTAACTTAAAGACTCTTGGCTGAAAGAGCTTTTGCTGTATGTCCGTGAGAAGGACTCGGCATCTGAAGGACTGTGTGCATGATGTTATTGGGATGTTGGAACTGGGAACTGCTTGGTTTGAAAGAGTTAGTAAATGATAATTATGTTGACGATTAATCTGCCCTTGTGTCCCTTCTGCAGACAAAAGTTTGGGGAGGACTGTGAGAGGAAAGAAAAGCTGCAGTTAAGGGTGAAACTGGTTAAGGGTGGAAATGTGGAAATAGAAAGCATGGATGGTTGGAGGGAAGCTATGACAGTAAAGAGACTTTAGCTATGCTGGAGGTATGGGCAGTTTTCCACCTGGTGTTCAGCAGCTAAGATGGACTCTTTCAAAAGAGGGATTTGCTGTCCTGCATTCTAGGAAGGCAGTGTCACAAAATCCATGTTGGGCACCATGATGACAAGCTTCTTGCCTGTGCCCTCTTTGTTGAGTTCCCTGCAAGAATGTACTTGGGGTACCGTCGTGTA